TATAAGTAGACTTAACTATAAGTCTACTATACCCTAAACCAGAAATCTCAAACCCTAAACCCCAAATCTCAAACCCTAAACGTTTGATTGATTATAAAACAAATCTTAGTCATTGTACCAAATATCATATATACAAAATATAAACTACTCAACATTAAATATGCAATTTTGAATCATTAAAACAAAATAATTCTAAATCGAGAATCTAACCCTAAGAATCTAACTCTAAAAGACATAACATGTTAGAACCTTTGGTTGCTAAACCATTAACATTGTCTACCACATAGTTCCCAAATCAATATACATTCTTTTAAATTGTTCAATTATAAGAAAATTTAATTTATCTACCTCATACTAACCTTTAAATTGATGATTTATTAAAAAATTTAGCAAAAACATTTTTTCTACATTTTTAAAATTAAATTATTTGATTAAATTAAGATGTAGACTAAATAATAAGTCTACATTAGTTTACACAGTAGACGTTAATGTAAGTCTACCTAGTTGTAGACTTCTTTCTTAAAGTGTAGACCTACGAAGGACAAAATCATAAAATATATTCCACGTTTTTTGTTTGTTCATAAGGGTTAAATAGTAGTTTTAACACCCCTTTAGGTTGGGTTTGCAATTGATTGAATATGTGATACACCTTTAGAGTTAAAATGAATATTTGGGTTGGTTTTGGCAATTCCCCCAAATATAAATCTGCAAGTGAACAAAACAAAACATCTGTACCTAAATATTTTAATGAAGAAACATATATCTTAATAAATTTGTCAATAAAAAATAATCTCGCGCTTGTAAGACACGGATCAGAATCTAATTATATATTTAATTAGAAGGAAACATAACTAAGAGGAAGGATATAAAAGATAAATAACACAGCAAATGTGTTTCTCATGCAATATGTGTTGGTAATCGAAAAGTCAAAATGTATCTTAAGGTGTTAATTTTTCTTTATCCAATCATGTCAGTACACTGACGCTACAAAGTTTACAGCTAAATTCTTACAGTAACAACTATATATATATATATATATATATATATATATGGAAATTTGGCATTGGCCACATATGTGCACATTTGAAAACATATTTGACCTAACCAATATGATCATATATACTTCCTTGCACAGATATATATATATATACACAAGTCTCATTAATATTATTCATCAATCAAATTAAAGTTAAAAGTAAAGTTACGAAGAGACAGAAGCATGAAACTCATTTTAGAAAAAATGATGTATGTAAAAGTTCTGATGATGGTAATAGCGATATGGTTCGTCCCCATGAGCTACAGTAATGGAGCTGAAGCACCCACTGGTGATGGAGCTGAAGCACCCACTGGTGATGGAGCCGAGGCACCCGGAACCGACGCCTTCAACAATGGTTGGTATGACGCACGAGCCACATTTTACGGTGACATCAATGGTGGAGGAACTCAAAGTAAGTTTCAGTTACAAGTATATTTTTAGAATCTGATTATTGAAATTGTTTAATATGAAATAATATGTTCCGTTAATGGCACTGGTTCAATCTGCTAAGGACTCGTGTTTCATGACATTGTACACGGTAAAAATATATTCAAAATTATTCTTTTGCACAAGAATTTTTTTGACTAATTAAACACCGATCGAATAGGCCCCTTTAAAAAAATACAGTATAGGCTCAGATACTTTTAAACGCTAATTTCAGCATATGTGATCGCATCATCATCTATCTTATTAAAAGATAAACATTACGATGGACGTAACATTTATTTTATATGTTTTTACATCTTTCTATTTTATAATTAAACACTCGATTTTGACCCGCGCTTAAAAGCGCGTAAATTTTTTATGATTAAAAATTTATATAATTGACTTTTTGTCTTAATGTAAAGAATGTTTTGGTATAAAATCAGTTCACCAAAATCTGTGATGATGATTGTTTTTCATTAGTTTTTAGTTCAATTTTTATTTTTAGATTTTGTTTTAGATTTTGATTTTTTTGATTTTTTGGTTTTTAGTTTTTAAGTTTCTATTTTTGATTTTCAGCTTTTGGTTTGAGTTTTTAATTTTTAGATCCGCTGAGTTAGTTTCAACTGATATTACCAACAAACAAATCCCAAATAATCGAACATCTAATTTAAAACTGAAAAGATGACAAAAGCTTTTTTAAAAAAAAATTGCAATAGTTTATTTTGTAAATAAACAAAAGCAAAAAAATATAACCTGCGTTTTCAACTTTTGGTTTTGGATTTTAGTTTTTAGAATTATTTTTTGGTTTTGCTTTACATATTTTTTTAAATCAGTAAATTATTTAAGAAAAATAAAACAATATATTATTTAAAAATTACCATTGAGATTTATCAAAAAAGGGATTGTTATTTTTAAAAAAAAATACATTATCATGTTTTTAAGTATATAATTTAAATAAATGATTAATAATAGACAATTTTGTTTTGTTAAAAATCTTAATTACCTTTTGGGCCTGAAAAAAATAATTGATTTTTTGATCCATTAAGGTGGAAAGTTTATTCAATGGTTTTGGAGTTTTTCCTTAATATTAAGCCCAAAAATCAAATCATATAATTTATTATAAAACAAAAGTAATCCCAATAATATATCCCATAAATAACCACCGGTTTAATTTAAGTAACTAGATTTTGACCCGCGCAACCGCGCGGGTGTTTGTTTTCGTTTATAATTAGTTATATAAACATTTTATTTTCACTTGTAAATTGATATATATTATAGTAATCACATATTTACGATAGGTATAGTAAATATTTTCCAAACATAATAATATTATATAATAAATGTTTTAATCAAATAGATTATTTCAAAATTTTTTATATTATACATGTTTTCAAACATGTGTTTGTTTCTTCTTCTATATTTTATTGTTTGTTAGATTAGTATTTCATTTTTAGATAAAGTAATATAAATAGAGCTTGATTAAATATTAGTATAATTTAATTTGCAAAGAGAATATAAAGTTCTAAGAAATTTTTGCTAAAAACTAAATTTATAGTTTCATAAATTAATATTATAAAGAATTTTTAAACAATTTCTTTTTTTTAAACAATATAATTTTAAAAATTTACATCGAAATAAATTTATCTAATATATATAGCGTGTAAATTTTGTTAGGGTATATAAATATTCTATATTACTAATCTGTGATTTTTGTTAATATATTGTGGATGCATTTAACTATTATTGACATATTTCTTTATAAATAATAGAAGATTCCTAAACTTATATCTATTGACATATTTTGCGTGACTAAATTGGAAGGTGTGGGGTAATT